GCGATGGTTGATTACATAGATACCCTTAATGAATTGTTAGATTTTAAGTTTTTTTTTATTTAGTTTCTTTTTTACTTTTTCCAAATAACATATATAATAAAAAAGAAATATTTCTAAAATTTTAAAAAAGATTTAAAAACAAAAATATATGTATATAATATGACTTTTATTAAAAAGGAAAGTTCACAAAATAGTAATATACCCCATTAATATATATTTTTAAATAACATATAATATATTTTCAAAATAATAAAAATATATATGTTCATGAACATCCAAAATTTATCAGTTACATTTTATTTTCTAATATTTTTTAGAAATCAACATATAATTTAATAAATATTATGAAAATACTTGTATATTTAAGCGATAAATAAAACTAATTTGATTTGACTTAACTAAAATAAAGAATAAATAAATATTATGAAAATACATATATATTTAAGCGATAAATATAACTAATTTGATTGGACTTAACTAAAATAAATCTCTATAATAGTATTTGAGAAGTCAGTTTCTTACGTGTCGCGCTCACATTAACTCTCGCTATGGTTGATTACATAGATACCTTTAATCAATTGTTAGATTTTAAGTTTATTTTTTTATTTAGTTTCTTTTTTACTTTTTCCAAATAACATATATAATAAATATAAAATATTTCTAAAATTTTAAAACATATTTAAAAACGAAAATATATGTATATAATATGACTTTATTAAAAAGGAAAGTTCACAAAATAGTAATATACCCCATTAATATATATTTTTAAATATCCTATAATATATTTTCAAAATAATAAAAATAGATATGTTCATGAACATCCAAAATTTACCAGTTACACTTTATTTTCTAATATTTATTAGAAATCAACATATAATTTGATAAATATTATGAAAATACTTATATATTTAAGCGATAAATAAAACTAATTTGATTTAACTTAACTTAAATAAGGAATAAATAAATATTATGAAAATACATGTATATTTAAGCGATAAATATAACTAATTTGATTGGACTTAACTAAAATAAAACTTAATTATACTTCAATTTTAACTCAATATACTCACAACATAAATGACTCGACTAATCTAATTTATATCCAAAATTAAACATCTAACTACAATAAGAACATATAATTTTATAGTAATAATAATCTATTTAATTTTATACATATAAATTAGAAGTTGGCTCAAAGCATATTAAAAAGAAAAATAAAATATTAACCAAATACAATTTATTCTTTTGTAGAATTTATATATATGCATGAGACTTCAAAATATTATCATTATATTCATTTATGTAATTTTGAATCAAACACTTCAGCTTATTATTTATTTTAGTTTAAGCACAATATATATTAAGTTATATATAATTTAACTATAATATATTTACATATCTAAGAATATATTTACATATCTAAGACACTTACCAACTGAAATGAAAATAAATAAAAAATAATCAAATTTTTATTATATTTAGAATAAAAAATATTATAGCTGAATACGAAAAATAAATATTATCAAATATACCAAATTAATAACCAAACCGACTATAATCTAAAAAATAATTAAAGCGACAATAATATATCCAAAGTCATATGTATAGTTAGAATAATATCATATTTATTAATATAAATTATACATATAAATTGATACAAAACTAAAACTAAACATCAATCAATTATTATAAAATTTTACTTCTATGAATATTTATATCCGTGCTCACCTAGTTTAATACTATATAATCGACACAAAAAAGATACGAGATATATTACGAGCGCCAAAGCATTTAATGGCCAGTGCTACTTACCAGACTTTCCGGACTCTTTTAGGTTAGACAGAAGACAGTCCAATTAATGTCACCGATTCACATACTTCATATAATATAAAGTATTACCGATACACATACTTCATATAATATAAAGTATTATCTAACATATGGAAATTGAAGGAATCTGTCAAGGATAACATTTAATACAACGACATGGACATCCATCTTCATGATAACGATTGTTAAACCTAAGATAGTAGAACCTAGTTAATGTTGTTTAACTTATTATTCCCCAACTAGTTTTTCTTTCCTCTTTTATCACCCACCTATAAGTGGTTGAAACTGAAACCTTCTAGCTCCTTTAAGAGGCAAACAAACAAACAAAAGCCTTTTAATAACCAACCTCTGCTTCGAAAGAGAGAGAGAAACTATGGAAGCCATGAAGGAGACTGTGGATCAGAGCTTGAGAGAGATGAGGGAGACGTATGCGAGCGGGAGGACAAGGAGTGTGAAGTGGAGGAAGGCACAGCTTGGAGCTATAATCGAGATGGTTAAAGACAACGAAGAGAAGATGTGTGATGTTCTGTTTCAAGATTTGGGTAAACACAGTACTGAAGCTTTCAGAGATGAGCTGGGTTTTGTCATGAGATCAGCTACTACTGCTTTAAACTGTCTTGATAAATGGGTCGTTCCAAAAAAGGTAAGAATCATACACACTATGCACATATTTAGTAACTATAGTATGAGACAATCTTGATCTCGGTTTAGGAAACTTTGAACGAAATATTAATCTTTTTTTTTGGCTAATTGTTTTCTTGGTGCTGAAAAAAACAGAGCAACCTTCCTCTGTTGTTCTATCCAGCAACAGGGAAAGTGATCTCAGAACCGTATGGGACGGTTCTTGTTCTGTCTAGCTGGAACTTTCCTATATGTAAGATTCAGATCTTGAATCAGTTTCATGTTTTTTGAGGTTTTTAATATAGTTAATATTGTGTTCTATTTTGGGTATGTGTTCAGCTTTGTCTTTAGACCCAATGATTGGGGCTATATCAGCAGGAAATACTGTTCTGCTCAAGGCATCTGAATTAAGCCCTAACGCATCTGCCTTGCTCGCCAAGTTAATCCCGTCTTATCTTGACACTAAAGCCATCAAAGTTATCGAAGGAGGACCTGATGTTGCAACTATCCTCTTACAGCATCAATGGGACAAGATCTTCTTCACTGGTATTATTAAATTCACTCCTTCTTGGATCTTAGATTTAGGATGCCATAACGATTTTTCGGTTATTTTATTAAAAAATTCCAATAATGTAAAGGTCATGCTACATATGTATATTATATTCTTAAAATTTGGGAGCCAAATCTAATGTTTCATCCGGTTTGTCCAAAACCGGTCATTTACACTCGATAACTCGCTTATAGCGGCAATCACACAACTGTTTTATTTGCTTGTAGGGAGTCCAAAGATTGGAAAAATCATAATGGCTGCAGCTGCTGAGCATTTGACTCCTGTGACATTGGAGCTTGGTGGAAAATGTCCAACCATTATTGATCACCACTCCGTTTCAAAAGACATGAAGGTATGTACTTTACTTTGTTTTCTTTTAGCTCCAGTTTGACATGATCGTGAAAAGTGTCTGAATTTTTATTATTGATTATGAACATATAGTCGGTTGTGAAGAGAATCTCTGGAGGAAAGTGGGGATCTTGCAGCGGACAAGCTTGTATCTCTGTAGATTACGTTCTTGTCGAACAGAGTTTTGCATCTACTCTGGTACGTGTACACGCATAAGCAAATGCAAACGCTGTTTCTGTTGTATCTCTAAGAGTTTGGTGGTTTTCTATAGATTGATATGTTTAAGCCGGTGATACGGTCTTTCTTCGGAGAAAACCCTAAAGAATCTGGATGTCTCGCTAGGATTGTCACCAAGAAACACTTTCAGAGATTGTCTCGTCTTCTTAATGATCCTCGTGTTAAAGCTTCAATCGTATATGGTGGCTCCATGGATGAAGAGAAGCTGTAAGCTTTGATTCAATCATCTAACTTGTGTCACACGTAATGTGTTCTACAGTCATTTAACCTAAATTTGTTTGGCAGGTATGTTGAGCCAACGATCTTGTTGGATCCTCCTCTCGACTCTGAGATAATGAATGAAGAAATATTTGGTCCAATTCTCCCGATTATCACAGTAAGCATATTTAAAGTATAATCATATCAAAAAAAAATACATTCGAATTGTTCAGTGCTGATTTTTTTTTTGTTTATTTCCTTTGATGTAATGAAGTTACGTGACATCCAAGAAAGCATAGGGTTCATCAAGTCAAAACCAAAGCCACTTGCTATCTATGCATTCACCAAGGACGAGAACCTTAAAACTAGAATCTTGTTAGAAACATCTTCCGGAAGTGTTACCTTCAACGACCTCATGATTCAGGTAGATTAATCTCAACAAAATTAATCTAGGTTGAGTGTAAGCTTTGAACTTGAACTCTTAAAACACACAATGTAGAAGTTTCTCAAATCTTCAATTGTTGAATTGCAGTATATGTGTGATGCGTTGCCCTTTGGAGGAGTAGGACAGAGTGGAATAGGAAGGTATCACGGGAAATATTCATTCGAATGTTTCAGTCACGAGAAGGCAGTAATGGAAGGAAGCTTAGCAATGGATCTTGAAGCTCGATACCCTCCATGGAACAACTTCAAGCTCAACTTTATTAGACTCGCTTTTCGTGAAGCTTACTTCAAGCTTCTCCTCTTAATGCTTGGTATTACGAAAGGAGTGAGAAAGTGAGACACACGAACACACATTAAATATATATGAATGATTATCACTCTTTTGTCTCATAGTTTATATCTTTACCTAATAAGTTTGATTCCAAACATCATTTAAGCTTGAGATTTTCTATATAAGTAATTTTGTTTTCAACTTAATATAAATAAGGTAGTATTCTGCGTGTGCCTAAGACTACGGAATCAGATAACAGAACAGATTATGTTAATAACGGAACATCTTAATTGGTATTTTTTTTTCATTAACGGAAGAGATTATGATTGATCTAAGTTTTGAAGCCACTTCAATAGTAAAATATTATTTAAAGATTTAGACAGAATATTTGAAATAACAGAGCAATATCAATTAATCAAAACTAAATTAAATTGAAAAAAAAATCCAAAACCTAAACAGAAAATCAAAGGAAAAAACAAACTATCTAAAAACTCATTCAAATCAGCAAATAAAACAGGCCGAATCTATCTCCTCCTTTGGGAAGAAGTATCTATTATACATCATAATAGAATCAGCTGCGATGGGCTCATTGTCTTGGTTCCTATGCCATGTGTATTGTGCATGAGTCTTGTTCTTGATCTCAAGAAGAGCATGACCAAAACTAGATTCCCTAAACGCCGAGTAACTTGGTTGCGGATCAGTGAAACTGTAGAAAGAGAGTAACTTACCATATTAGTTTCTATATGGTCGAAACAATGAGTTTTTTTTTCACTGTTTTTGTTACCTATTTGCGATTCCTTCAATGTTTCCTCCATCTCCGATTGTGATGTAAATTGGAGCATTAGGATCTTTCACAGGAGTGCTCAAGCCATTGGTAATATTATACTTAATATTGGAGACACGTTCGGATCTCTCATAAGCATGAACGTGACCAGCCAAAACCAAATCAACCTTGCTGTTAACAAACCACGACTCAAACATTACCCTCATACTCTCACCTTCCATGTAATGGTAGTTGACACTATTGTACCAAGGCGAGTGAACCATAACAATCAACCATGGAGTCTCCTCTCTGTTCACGTTCTTCAGCTCTTGCTCGAGCCACACGTATTGCGGTGTGTATTTGCCTAGAAATGAGATAAAATGTTATGTAAACAAAATAAAGAAATATTATAACTCATTGTTTATTAATTTTTTCTTGTTACCGTATCCGGAGTAAGAGGAGAGGACAATGATGTGAGCAGGGCCGCGTCTAACTGAGTACCAAAGAGGAGATATGCTCCCTGAGGTTTTGAAGGCGTTATGGTAACGGCGAATATAAGGCCTAAATGGGTGGCGCTCACCCTAATTAAAAATTCAAATTGTAACTAAACCGAAACTAATTAACCAAACAAAATTGAGAAAATACTTGAAATAGGTGAATCTTACAATGTTTGGAACAAAATCAATCTCGTGATTCCCGACGGCATAGATAATGGGCTGGTAAGCAGCGCAAGGCTCCATGAATCTTCCATAAGTATCCCATTTTCTCTGGTCATGGTTTGGAAAATGGTCTTGGTAAGCCAAGTCTCCGGGGAAGAGAAGAGTTTGGCCTTTAGGGTTCGACATGTAATGGTACAATGTTTCGTTAGAAGCATAGGTTTGTCCAAGATCACCTACAAAAAAAACAATGACTCATTAGATATTGATGTTGTAAACACTGGTTTTAAATTAGGTTAGTAAAGATAAGTTAATTACCAATAATCCCGAATGTGTATGGAACATCAGGTCCAACCTTTGGAGGTGTTGTGAAGGAGAATTGTCTAACTGATTTATCAGTACCAACCTCATAGATGTACTTAGTATCATACTGATATGTAAAACAAGAATGTATACATTAAACACAGTACATACAAAAAAAAAGAGCTTGTTGTTCCTTGGATGACAAGTTAAGTAATACAAAGTACACAAACCTCGAGATGTTTAATGGTGGCGTGATGAAGAAATCCAGAAGCATAGTCATAGAATTTGTAAGACGACGTGGAGGCTTTCTTTTTTAACTTCTTAACGTCATTGTCATTACTGGCGATCCAGTAAGTAACCACATCAGAACCAGCTAGGTTTAACGGTGTCACCCACGAGATAATCATGCCACGTCCATCGCGATCTCCTTGCGTTATATGAACCTAAAACAATAACAAAAGAAAAAATCAATACAAGTACGTGGTTTTTTGGTATATTAAGATACAACTGATAAGAAAACTAAGAAATTATAAAACCTGTTCTGGAGCATTGTGACCGGGAGGAGAAGGGAATGTCCCGAAAGACATCTCGTTTGCTGGTTGAGCTTGGCGGACATATTTGCTTGTTATTCCACAATTGATTACCGTGGTGATGCTTAGAAGTAAGAGGGAGAGTATGAAGATCTTCATGTTTAATCAGTGTAATGGCTTTGAGAAATTTATCGTTTGTGTAGTGTTTAGTTGGTAAACTAGGTTTTATATATATGATCGAGTGGAATATGCCAGTATTTGGCCTGGAATCTATATATAAAAACGATATGCGTAAAACTAGTATAATTTAGTAATATATACCCTCGGATAAATCGGTTGCATTATCTATTTCAAAAAGAATATTTCAAAATAGCTGATGATGACTTCGTTTATTTACAGTAACAAATTATCAAAAAGTAAAATTTTATACAATAATTTCGTTATCAGATTTTTTTTTCTTTATATTACTGTTAGATCTAGTATTTGAGATATATCCATTTATTATTTTAGAGTTTTACTCAAAATTCTTTGAAATATTTTTTTCTTCTAGACGCTCAGTTATCATATTTTAAACAAAAAGTGAAGATTTTTTTTTTGCAACCGAAAGTTTAAGATATTGCGAAGAATTTCTGCAATCTAGCTTAGTCTATATGTTGCAACTATGTAGGTAACCACTTATCAGAATCTCTGACAGAAAATATATTGCAACTATGTATATTATTAAAGAAATAATATTTGAGATAAAAATAAAACTTTAAACAAAGTATATACTATATAATATTATAATTCGAATTATAAAAAAATATGATATAAGTTAATATCTGTTATATATTTTTAAAAATAATAATTTGCGGATTAATAGGTATGCACAACTCAAATATTTGATCACCCTGCAACTGACCCACATAAAACGAAATTTATCCTCACCTCGGGAGTATTTACATCACTCGACCGGATAGAAGGCGGTGGATCTAAAGGAAGCGGGCCTGCATGTATTAACTCAAATTATCATCTCTACTTTCAACCACAAAAGCTTTTTCACCTATTAATAATTATGTACGGCTATTATGAACTCCACACAGTATATCCTCGCAAAAAAAAGTTTGATGTGACATGCCAAAGATTACACCATTAAAAGATAACAAATTCTAACAGAAATATTACTCCCTCATCCAAGAAATTAGCTTTTGCCTTCTTTTTGTCATTGTGATGGATAAGAAGGATCTTGCAAAAGATTTCCACATGACAAGCTATGCCAGAAACTCTTCCGTTCAGGTTCTTGATATTTCAAAATATCTACACTTACTTCATATATAATCTTGACTTGTAATTACTTTTTTTTTGTTGGTTTGATATTTGCAGAAGAAATCCTCGGATAATGCAAAACACATAACACTAGAGACAGTGCAACAACTCTACAAAGAGACAAGACCCAAGAGTTTAGGAATAGCTGACCTGGGATGTTCTTCAGGACCAAACACTCTTTCCACCATTAGAGGCCTCATCAAAGCCATCATATCTGCTCACCACCGTGAGATACCAAACGACCCCTTGCCGGAATTCAGTGCCTTCCTTAACGATCTCCCTCAAAATGACTTTAACTCCATATTCAAGACCTTGCCTGATTTTCACATAGAGCTCAAGAGAGATACCAACAATGATGGTTGCCCTTCAGTTTTCATTGCAGCATGTCCTGGATCATTCTATGGAAGGCTCTTCCCTGAAAAAACTATTCACTTTATCTATTCCTCTTTCAGCTTACACTGGCTTTCCAAGGTGAACATAGTTATTATCTATAAGAATGGTAGCTGATATATATATATAAATACATTGTTTCTTTTTCTTTGCAGGTTCCTCCAGCTTTGTTTGACGATCAAGGCAAGTCCATAAACAAAGGTTGTATTAGCATTTGCTCCTCGAGCCCTGAAGCTGTTTCCAAAGCTTACTACAGTCAGTTCAAGGAAGATTTCTCTATGTTCCTCCGGTCTCGATCAAAAGAGGTGGTTTCTGCAGGCAGAATGGTGCTCATATTACTCGGAAGAGAAAGTCCTGATCATGTTGATAGAGGAATGTCTTTCATCTGGGAGCTTCTCGCAAGATCCATAGCACATCTTGTCGCACAGGTATATACAGGGGCAAATGAAGCTTACAACGGACGGTCACGTGCCCCAACTAATCAGTTCAGAATTTTAATTTTTTAAATAATTAGCTTAAAAAGTATGATAATGCCCGGACTAATTGAAAGTTTATAATAGTGCCTACGGTTAGAAGTTCGCGCCACTGAGTAGATATTCTATTATATTTATACATAATATGCTGATTTCACAAAGATGTAGTTTGGATTTAGAAACCATGTAACATGCTTCCATTTAATTGTAGGGAGAAATTGAGGAGGAGAAGCTCGATTCTTACGAGATGCACTTTTACGCTCCGAGTGCTTCTGAGATAGAAGGTGAAGTGAACAAAGAAGGGTCTTTTGAATTAGAGAAGTTAGAGATGATGGAAGCGGACAAGAAAGGCGACGAGGATGGTATGAGTTCCGGTGAGCTGGCTGCAAAGACGATAAGAGCGGTTCAAGAGTCAATGCTTGGTCCACACTTCGGAGAAAGGATTTTGGACAAGCTTTTTGATACATTTGGTAGAATGGTTGACGAGGAGATGGATAAGGGAGACATAAGACCCATCACATTTGTTGTTGTCTTGAGAAGGAAGCACTGAAATAAATCATTTTCTATTTCCTGGGGGGACGCAAGAAGGGGAGGGGTATGGCATGTGCTACCACTTCACATATCTCTAGTTTATATATATGCTTGTGCCCCTAATTGTATGGATCCGTCTCTTCCACTTGATGTAGCATTTTCCATGCATAGAATCAATCAAACTGAAACTACTTTTCTGTTAGAACTTAGAGCATCATCATCTGGGGGCGCTTAGAGCATTGTTTAGGGGGGCACAAAAAATACAAAATCCGGTGCTTCCAGCTGCAAAATAAACACCCAGTTTTCTTTGATGCTTACTCTATTTGCAAGTCTCACTTACATATGGTGGTCCGCGATTGATTTGTTTTTTTAATTTTTTAAATAAATTTATTTTTTTAAGCACTCCATTATAGGAATTTTGGATAATGATGGTCTTAAAACCTAATTCTAAAACTAGGATATATTATGATGTCACAACAAAGCCATACTTGAAGCACGTTAACTCACTTTTTTAAAGGTGTAAACCATTTTGGGGTTTTTCTCTTTGAGTGATTTAGCTCAAAATACCAAGAGAAGTAGATATTTAGGGATTTGTCATATTTTAGGGGGAAAAATTAGTGATAGGAGAAAGGAAAGAGAAGAGAGAAATAGGGTATATAGCTAAATAAGATGTTTTGTGTGTGTATGGAGTGCAAATACTCTTGCTTTTTTGGAAATAGAAGAAGAGAGCTCTCCCTTAAGGGCGCCACGTAACCAGCAGAAAAATACTAATTACAGGGATCAAGAAGAACAGATTAGGAAACTATATGATTAAACATACATACAGTAGGCTACTAGGCATTATGGGCACAGAAGTGCATGCCCATTTACACAGGAAGAAGACGAGCGGTGCATGGCGCTTGACTATTTTCTATCTTATGCTACACGTACTTTAGATAGTGGCATGCTAACTGCATTACAGCATTTGATAATGGAAAGTGGCATGCTAACTACAAATGTCTTTTCCTATATAAAATGTTGGTCACTGTAATTTTATGTAAGATTTAAGATCGGTGCATGAAAGCCATATGTACGTTACTAAGTTAGTTATAATATTCACATGTTTTCTTGCTTCTTGTGGGAAATTGGGACTTGATCCATATATTCAGTCTATCACAGAGCCACCTCATCAAATATTCGCTCTGTCTTCTTTTAACTATATCTATTTTCTTTCTGTATTAAACTCTCCTTCTTAGTGATTAACGTGTATGTCTTTGAAGCACAAATTCTTCTGACAACTTATATAGAATACACTCACTATCATGGCAAAGAGTACTGCAACTCCAACTAACGAGGTGAATAAGGCTCTGGATTCATTAAATTTATTGCTACTTTATCTGAAGTGTGCATTTTTATTTTTTTAAGGGTCCTATATATAATATACCCCTTTATTAGGAAATAATACTCCTTTAAGAAAAGATTGAGATGACTGGCCAAATCTTACCCCTTTAAGAAAAGCAAATTCTAACACCAAAAGAACAAACCCTAACCCAAGAAATAGTTTTGTGTTGTCATTGTGATGGATAAGATTGATCTGAAAAGAGAGTTCCACATGACAGGAGGAGTTGGGAAAACTAGTTATGCAAGAAACTCTTCCCTCCAGGTTCTTGATATAAATATCTTCACTTCCTGCGTAATCTTGACTCCTATAATTACCCTCTTTGTTGTTTTGATATTTTCAGAAGAAAGCCTATGATCAGGCAAAAGACATAACACTAAAGTCAGGCAAAAGACATAACACTAAAGACACTGCAACGACTCTACAAAGAGACAAGACCCAAGAGTTTAGGAATAGCTGACTTGGGATGTTCTTCAGGACCAAACACTCTTTCCACCATTAGAGACATCATCAAAGCCGTCATATTTGCTCACCACCGTGAGATACCAACCGAGCCCTTACCGGAATTAAGCGTCTTCCTTAACGATCTTCCCAAGAACGACTTCAACTCTATATTCAAGTGCTTGCCTGACTTGCACATAGAGCTCAAGAGAGATACCAACAATAATGGTGATTGCCCTTCAGTTTTCATTGCAGCTTACCCTGGATCTTTCTATGGGAGGCTCTTCCCTGAAAAAACCATCCATTTTATCTATGCCTCTTTCAGCTTACACTGGCTTTCAAAGGTGAAAGCTTTATGCCGGTCCTTGGCAAAATCTAATAAAACATTTGTTTTGACTTCCAAATTTTAAAAAGCTAATATATAGGTCCTGTAACCTTTAAATTGTATTTTAGTTGTTAAGATTTAAAATGTTTATGACTTACTAAATCTCAACACCGATTTTGATAACAATTGTAACTCAGGTAATATATATATACACATACTAAGTATTTTCATTTTTTCTTTGCAGGTTCCTCCATCTTTGTATGACGATAAAGGCAAGTCCATAAACAAAGGTTGTATTGGCATATGCTCCTCGAGCCCTGAAGCTGTTTCCAAAGCTTACTACAGTCAATTCAAGGAAGATTTCTCCATGTTCCTCCGGTTTCGATCAAAAGAGGTTGTTGCTGGAGGCAGAATGGTTCTCATAATACTCGGAAGAGAAGGTCCTGATCATGTTGGTAGAGGAAACTCTTTCTTATGGGAACTTCTCGCAAGATCCATAGCAGATCTTGTCTCACAAGTATATATATATAATATGCTTTTTTCGCAAACATGAGTCTTGATTTAGAAAAATTGATCAAGAAAATATGTAACATTGTTTCCATTTAATTATAGGGAGATATTGAGGAAGAAAAACTCGATTCTTACGAGATGCACTTTTACGCCCCAAGTGCTGCTGAGATTGAAGGTGAAGTGAACAAAGAAGGGTCTTTTGAATTAGAGAAGCTAGAGATGATGGAAGTAGACAAGGAGTGGGGCAATGAGGATGGTATCAGTTACGGAAAGGCGGTTGCAAAGACGATAAGAGCGGTTCAAGAGTCAATGCTTGCTCCACACTTCGGAGAAGAGATTTTGGACAAGCTGTTTGATACATATGGTAGAATGGTCGACGAGGAGGTTGCTAAGGAAGACATAAAACACATCACATTTGTTGTTGTCCTTAGAAGGAAGCTCTGAAACATTGAAAACTGAAGAAGAGATCCCTCCCTTGAGTTCCACGTAACCAAAGGGATATTCACTATTCAGATTTTTTTTATTTGTCTAATGTTTACTTTTAAAATATTTTAATGTGCTCAAAAACCTACAATTTTGCTTCCAAGACTTGTATTCTTATAAATCAAATGAATGTTATAATATACAAACATCATCACGAAATTGAAAGATAGACTCGTTTGAACTTAAAAATTTGTCTTGATTTTGATTTTCCATAAATTCATCATCTACTTGTAATAAATGATAGGAGCATTAGTTCTTGCATCCCACATACCACCTTCTTTCAAGTACTCAAGATACCTAGAAAACTCAGGCTTCCTAGTCGTTGACTTCTTCTTCTTTCCGTATAAAAAGCTAAAGATAGGGTGGCTAAATTTGCTGGTTGGTTTGACTTTCTTGGATTTTTGACGAGGAAGCTCCTCGAGAATGGTTGGAACACCACCAGCACCAAGCTTTATAGATGGAGCGTAGTAAGGAACACTCGTTGATCTTCTTAGCTTGGCTCCGAGTAAGCTGAAAGTTGAATCATCACTTACTCGCTCGTAGCCTCCACGACGGCTTCTTGTCCTAGTGCTAAAGCTTCTTAGCATTTGCATCTTCTGATTGTCTTAACTGTAATGTATAGAGAAGTCTACAAAGATGATGTAAAGAGAGGGAGTGAGAGATGATTTTGTTGTTGTAATGAGGAAGAGTTTCATCAATGTGTTGTTATATATGGAGACATGAAGACATTTTATGATTGTATTTTATTTGATTTGAAAGTTGAAGTGGTCAAAGTTGCCTGCCAGTTTGAAGAGTCCAATTATAATTCTTGTATTTTTAATCTGCTTCTATAAAATAAGGATAATATAAATTAAGTGATGAGAGGGATGGATTCGTCGAGCTTCTTTGACTTTTCAAGTCTATTCTAACGCAATCCTTAACCTCATCATCGTCAAGGAACTTCCACGAGACTCGGTTTATATATTACGTTATTAGAATTTGCATCTTAGGGGTCAAATAAATGACTAACATGTTTTTGTTGTTCAAACGAGTGTTAAATAAAGGAATAACGTTTTGTTAAAAGGCTCTAAAAGATTTTAGAAAACAACGTTTTGTTCAAAGGCACTAAAAGATTTTAGAAAACATGTTTCTTAAAAATTCGTCTATTACTTCTCCATTATTTTAGAAAACATCTCGTCATTTCAGAGAGTGATTTTTTTGTTCACTCGTTTTTGGGTACCTTTAATGAAAGTGCGACATTTTCAAAGGTTTACAAGAACCATGGAAATGAACGTGACCAGTGCTCCACTGAAACAAGAATGGTGTAGTGACCTTTGATCAATTAATTCCATACTGATAAGTGCCTATCCAACCACTCAGATTAGTAGCCTGGCTTTATAAAAGAGCCAGGACTAATTTTTGAGTTCTTAACTTATTTTATTATTATTTTTATGTTAAGAGATACAATTCTAAAATTGTAGATTATTGGTAGGATTTTTTGTTGTCTCTTAGTAAATTAATTGTTATTTTAATAAGTAATAACGTATAAAAGATAAGTTTAAAATAAAACATCTTATATATTAAAAGAGAAGTCACAATCTTAATTCATATGTGATTTTTTCAAAAAATGGACTATTCCTTAAAAAAATTATCAAATGTTAAATACTTTAATATTGATAATATTTTTAAATATCTTTATCTTTCTATTTGGAATACAAATGAAATAAATCCAACAAAATATTTTTGGTATTTTTTTAAATTGTATTTCCTTAAATCATTGAATTTAAATTATAATTATCATAAAATATCATTAAAATTATTATTTTATTTATAAATGAAAATTTAAAATTATCTAAATTATTTCTAATTATATTTTAATGAGAATAATAATTTAAATTGATGGATTTTCAAAAATTCATATTTACAAAATTTAAATAGATTATGTTAAAAACAAATACTAAAGTTATATTTAAAATATACAAAATCATATATATATATATATATATATATCAATCTATACTATTAAAACGAAATCATGAGTTATTTCATGTATAATATTTTTTTGGACCATTCTTTAAACAGTTCTCAAATTTAACATAATTTAATTATTATATCACCCCATATCTTTATCATTTATTTGAAATACAAATGTTTTATTTAAGAAATTAACATTTATCTAGATAGTAGTATAGATTCCTAAAACCTAAATAAAAAACTATATAATAGAGTTTGAACCACACAGATTTTTCATTTTATAAACATAAAACTTTGATAGTATTATAAAAATTAATTATATGATTTACATTTAGTGTTATATATTATATAATTCTATAATTTTGTTATTTAATTTTCTTTTTCGTCATTATTAATATATATTAATTTGTTTTAAATATATTTTACTTTATATTCTTATTGATTGTTATTACTTATTACTATATTTTGAGTTTAATACATAAATTATAATCTGAAATAATCAACTATATAATCTTCTTTAATATAGAGTTTTATTTTCTGCGATTTGCATATAATACATTTTAACATTTATTTAGATATACTATAGATAAATATTTGTTAACGATAATTTATATTTTCATGTTTTGTTTAAAAATGATATTTTAACATCTATCAGTTTAGTATTTTGCGAGATTTTATGAGTAAATATATATTTATTTGTTGACAATTTTTGTATAAACTATAAAGAAAAATAAAACCCACACGGTTGTATGAATCAAGATCTAGTATAACATTATAATTGAAAACATAGGAAAATTACAAAGTTGCCAAAAAAAATTACAGAGGAGGAACACATACCTGATTTCGATTGGATTCGGCGGAGAAGCTCTGGAGGACAGGAGAAATCGGTGTGGATTTTGCAACCAGATGACGGTGTGGTTGAAATCGCCGTCGAGAGAGAGAGAATAGGGAGACGATGAGAATGAAGTCGAGACCGTAAACTCGACTTTCCCCTACCCCATTTGGTAAACATGTCTCATTACACCACGTGCCTCTTAAGGACGTCATCGAAAAGTTCTTAATTAACCTACGTCCTAAGCTTTTTCCCTAATTTTGATTAAATTTTTTAGGTTATTATTACTAAGCAACTCCATTAAAAATTGCCAGATAATGCTAGTCTAAAGATCAGAAACTATTTAAAAAAAAGTTACTAATGATCCACGCATGTTTGGGTTCCAACTTCACTAATAATACCACTAGACTAAACGAACATTTTAAAAACAAAATGACCGAAAATAATATATATATATATATATATATATTGAAGGCTATTGAAAGCTAAAAATCCATACTTCTATAGTTTCCTATCAGAGCTGAGCCAAATTCAGATTTACAGGCTCCACAATTTTGATCTACGGTAGTACAATTGAAGCAACTTCATCGTGTTACAAAAAAACAAAAAGAAGCAACTTCATCACTAGTTTACTAACTAGAAGACGAAAATTCTTCTACTCATATTACCTAAAACTTAAATTCAAACCAGTAATGGTTTCCATAAATTGAATGTAAGAACTCAATTTTTTTTTTTGTCACGCGAATGTAAGAACTCAATATGAGTTAAATATTCTGTGATAAACATGATTTTCATAAAATTGAATGTCTCATGTTGTGACTCTGGTACTCCAGAAAAAAACCATCAAGTTTATGAGGACATATGGAAGGTAAAGGCATAGGTTGATATACTAGTACACTAGAATACTTTTAAATGCTTTTAGAAGATTTCAATTTGTAAATTTAACGTCTATTTCGATGATATTAAAACTTTACAGTATATTCTTTTGATAAATAAAAAGAAGATTTCACCTCTTTACCACAAATTTAAACATTGTAAATAATCATTTTTAACACGAATTGAACACATGTGGCGATAATAACAGCAACATCTTTTATACCACTAAACCAACTCAATGTTGGTATAACTTTACATTATACTATCTCATTCTCATATAACTCTCAGAAATTGTAACCTGACATTCAAGAAAAAACTAACGTCTATTTCGATGGTATTAAAACTTTACAGTATATTCTTTTGATAAATATAATGTCTATTTCGTTGGTATTAGAAGATTTCAATTTGTAAATTTAACATCTATTTCAATGGTATTAAAACTTTACAGTATATTTTTTTGATAAATAAAAAGAAGATTTCACCTCTTTATCACAATTCCAAACATTGTAAATAATCATTATTAACACGAATTGAACACATGTGGCGATAATTACAGCCACATCTTTTATACCATTGAACCAACTGTTAAGATAGATAGGCTTCCAACCTAAAACCAATTGTTGATAATTACAGCCACATCTTTTATATATTGCTAGAGATCACTTCCAACAACCGATGTGGGACTTTAGTCCTTAATACACCACCTCGAGATGATGGCTTTTTGGCGTCAATCTCGGAATGTTCGGGCAAGGATCGATGGGCCGACTTTGGGCTGGATCGATAAGGATCGGGTTGGATTGCATGGATCGTGGGCTTTGATACCATGTTAAGCTAGATGGGCCAATACACTTATCACCAATTGGTTTTTAAGGACTAAAGTCCCACATCGATTGTTGGAAGTGATCTCTAGAAATATATAAGATAGATGGGCCACTACACTTATTACCAATTGGTTTTAGGTTGGAAGCCCATCTATCTTAACTTGGTATCAGAGCCCAGATTCTAAAAAGCCTTAAATCCCTAATTAATTAATTACCCTTCCGATCGGGTATATAGATCGTGTTTAACTTTCCGATTAGGTATAATTGTCGTACTTAACTCGCTCGACCGAGTATAATTGTCTTAAAGTTTCGAGATTTCTGGCCGATAAGAGCCATCATCTCGAGGAGGGGTATTAGGGATAATATATCCCACATCGAAAAATCAAAGAGACCTTAAGTAATATATAAAGGGTTAGGGCCAATCCACTTATCACCTACTCAGTGTTGGTACAACGTTACATTATACTATCTCATTCTCATATAACTCTCAGAAATTGTAATATGACATTCAAGAAAAAACTACAATGTGTTATTACCTTCAAGGTGAATAATCTTCCCAATCATGTATTGGATGAACGATTTCATAAATAGTATTGATGCTTTTAGATTATATCACCGAGTATATATAATTTGAAAATATATATATAAAAGAAATGTATAGCCGTATAAGGACCAACCAAACACTTAGATCAAAAGAAATGGTGTCGCCCACCTACGATTTCGAAAATAGTATTAATGCTTTTAGATTAAATCACCGAGTATATATAATTTGAAAAAATATTATAAAAGAAATGTATAGGGACCAAACACTTAGATCAAAAGAAATGGTGTCGCCCACCTTCCTATCACTTATCTTTAAACCCATTTTCTGCTTTATATATTGTTTTGTTTGTATCCCTGTCACTGAAATTTCTATTAAATAAACTAGTACAATGGATTGGATCAAATATATCATAGAGATTCTGTATAATTTTTTGTTAATGATCTCTCTAAGAAGAAAAATGCTGGTTTAATTTATAGATTGATAAATGGTGCTTAATATTATGCTACAAGGATCACGTACAGATTCACAACAAGCCATGAGAATGATATCACTCACGCTCATGATTCAAACCATTGTTTCTATTCATTTGCAAGTTAAGATTCATCATTTGTAATTCACATTGCCCACATTCTCCACCACATATAACCTTAAGAAACACTCTATAACCTTAAGAAACACTCTTTTGTTTAAGTAAAATTCTTGAGGAAAAAAAACAAGGATGGATGATTGATAGAATAAAAGATCCTCTCAAAATCTTGAAAGGGTAAACGAAAAAAAAAAACAGAGAAAGACACAGAAAGGACTAACTTAAGAGACTCCTCATGTCATGTTCATAAGGACATGGCCACATGGTAGGTTATGTCAATTAGACCCCACAACTTCTCATCTCACTTTCTTTGTCCCCAACCTCCTCCACTCTACCAAATTTGTCCCTCTCTTACTAGATTTCGAATCTCATGTGTGTGGGTCAATGTTGCTTTCTATTTAAAGCTAAGAATAATTATATGCAATGGATTACTTTTCTCCCCACACATATAACTTAAGTCTATCTTTCTCTCTTTAGCTTTAAACCCCAAAGAAAAAAAGATAAGAGCTTTAAGTTTCTTTACCTTCTCTCAATGGACTTGTCTGTACTTGAAAGAGTTAAATGGCTGCAACAGCAACAAATGGTTTCACCTGAGTTTCTTCAGATACTTGGCTCAGATGGGAGAGAAGAGCTCAAAATGGTTGAGAGTTACTTGGGAAACAGTAATGATGAGCTTCAGGGTTTCAGACATTATGAAACTATTGATGGCTGCATTTCCAGGACAAGTAGCTTCCAAATGGAACAAGTGAAGAACAATGAAGAAAACAGAGTCATTGCCTTGCAGCACAAGAGAAAAACAGAGGTTTGTAGCTCAATAAATCATTGATTTTTGGAGTTCAGATTTTGTTTGAAACATTGATTTTTAATTTTAAATAACCTTTGGTTTTAGGGTAAGACAGAAAAGAGAGGGAAGAAGAAGATCAAAACAGAGGATGAAACTGAGTCAAGCATGAAGGGAAAATCAAACATGAGTAACACAGAGACATCCTCAGAGATTAAGAAGCAAGAATACATCCATGTGAGAGCTAGAAGAGGTGAAGCCACCGACAGACATAGCTTAGCAGAAAGGGTAAGTAACTGAAGAGTTGTTACAAAGATAGAAAGTACCTTGTAGTGTTTTGTCTGAGTGATTTTTTTTTATTATGGCAGGCAAGGAGAGAAAAGTTAAGCAAGAAGATGAAATGTCTTCAAGATATTGTTCCTGGATGCAACAAAGTTACTGGTAAAGCCGGTATGCTTGATGAGATCATCAACTATGTCCAATCTTTGCAACAACAAGTCGAGTTCTTGTCTATGAAACTCTCTGTCTTAAATCCAGAGCTTGAGTTTCATATCAATGAATTATCCACTAAACAGGTGAAAACAACTTCATCCTCCAAGAATTATCTGTTTTTTTGCTCATTTATTGACTGATTTCTATTGAAATATAGTTTCAGGCTTGCTTCACAGATCTTCCAGAAGCTGTCTCGAAGCAGTCAATGATGGTGGATGTCTGTTCTTTTCCATTACACCAGCATGGATCTCTAGATTACTCTGTCATAAACTCAAACCAAACCACAACTCTCGGCTCTGTAATAATCTTTTCACTCAGACAAATCTTTCTTCATTACTAAAGTCTCGTTTCTTGTCCCTGAAGCAATGTATTCCCATTTGTTTTCTTTCCTGCAGAAAGATCAGACATCTTCAAGCTGGGAAATTCACTCACAGTGTCTTTACAACAACTTGAGCCTCAAGTAACAAATTATGGATAAGGCTCACTGAAAAGATGGCAATTTTTTTTTGTCTTATCATTTTCTCTTATGTTATATGAAATCTGAACCAGAAATACAGAGGAAACCAATCCAAAGATATTTCAATCTACAATACAAGTTGATATGTATTCTAGGGGATATGTATATGTAGAAGAAAGGGAAAAAACTCTTGTGGTCATAACAATTCCTTGTTGTACATTGTAGTATATTAAATATCTCCTAAATTTTATTTCTCACTCAATTTTTATTATTTAATGATTTACAAATTGCAAACTATTTTCCTCACAATACTTTCCCCCTATCAAATTACAACTACACTTACATTAATGGGTGCCCTTTAGACTGGTATAAACATATACACACCCTAAGTCAACAAAGAGAGAACCACAAAAAAATGATAGCTTCTTAAAGAAGTAAAAGTTAAAAAAACAACCTAACAAAACTTAAGCTTTTATATTCTTCTTCTTGAGGATGGAGAATTTGATCCCAAAAAGACCAGACTTCTTTGGAGATGGTGTTGTTATAACAGGTTCCTGATGTGTAACTGGAGCCACAACAACTTGTGAAGTGGTTGCAGCAGTTACTTCTTCTTGTGGTGTGGATGATTCTTCTTCTTCTACTACTTCTTCAAGAGCTCTAAGCAACTCAGATGCACCCACCTTAGCTTCCTCGGTTCCATTGTTGGATATCAAGAGAAGAGATGAGTAAATATTAAGGCCTTCTCTCACCACAAGATAGCAATACTCTATCTTCTCCACACAGAGCTGGAGGAGGATGGAGATTGCATTCTCTACCTCCTCGGGAACATTTGAGTCCAGTAGCTCAGATATTGAAGCTAAACAGCTAGGGGTTTCTGTTACACAAACCCTACCTTTCTCAGTGTTGCAGAGATTCTTCAGGATGATGATTGAGTGTTTGCTGAAGACGTTTAGTTGCAAGAAAGATGTGAGCTTATGGACAAAACCGAGAGAGACCATTTCCACACAAATCTCATTGCTTGAAGAGAGGTTCTTGAGTGTGATCATAGCTTGTTCTTGAAGATGTTCTGCTCCAGACTCAGCTATCTTCAAAAGGGAGGAGAGAGAGCTTGTTGAAGTTATCTTGGAGAGACTGTGTGGATGGTTAGAGAGAACTTCGAGTACGTTCAGAGCTTCTTCAGCTACTAACTCTGACCCAAGAAAGACACACAACATTTCAAACACATCTTCTTTCATGCTCTCTATAGCCTTCCTGCTTCCACTAAGGAAAGTTAATAACAAATCCAAACCAGACTTTACTATGTCTCCCTCAGTGCCATTTCTTTCATGAGCATCTTTCAAGAATGTGACAAGTGGCTCAAGAAATTTACTAGGTGACATAGACCGAATAGCCCTTGAATCTTTCTCAAAAAGACTTCTTACATCTTGAACAACCTTGACCTGAGCATCCCAAGGAAGCTTAGTGAGTTCACACAAAGGCTCTATCTCCACCTCACTGTGATGAGTAGAAGAATCTGTGACTTCAGTTCCTGACTCAGAAGCTATAGTCTGCATTGGCATGAAGTAAACACCCTTTGACATCTTAGAGTAGGATGGCGAATCAGTGGAGAAGCTAGAGCTGAAGTCCCTACTAGTGAAGCAGCTGAGATCAGGGATATTGTAAAGAGAACTTGTAAAACTAGCAATAGAGAAGTCAAGATTGTGTGACGCATTGTTTGTGTGCTTCATTGCTGGATCTTGAACATCAAGACCGTGCTTCTTGCACCATTTTGATATCTGATCTTTCATCGCTACGTTGGACTGCAATGTGAAATCATCTAGTACCCTTTTTGATACAGGACATGCATCATGACCTTCATCAAACCATCTCTGAATAAACATCCTCTCAAACGTGTGGCCTGAGGAAATGATGACAGGATCATACATCACGGTAAGAGAAATAGGACACTTAAACTGTTCAGGAAGTGTATCATTGTGTTCCTCAGAACACCCGGCTTCAGCACCACTAGCAGACACAGAATCATTGACAGAGTGATGATGCTGTCTGAAAGAATTATCTTTGTGATCACTCCAAATGATCTTCTCATGCTTTTTCAGGAGGCAGAGAAGATACTTCAGAATCTGTCTCTTGTTCCCTTCACACTCCTCTAGTTTCACATAAAGCGACTTTAAGGATCTTCTCTCTACCACAATGGCTTCAGGTGTTGAAAGCTGGAGCTTCAATGCTGCAAAATGGAAATCTCTGATCTCAGCAGAAGACACAGAAGAAGATGTGCTTTGTCTCATTAGTTCCCTAATAGCTTTCCCAGCTTCTTCTTCAGATGATTCCAGAGACAACACAGTTGACTTAAGATCTTGGAGTACCTCAAGTATCTGCAACCAACAGTGATTCAGCATTTCTCATAGAACAAACAAAAAGGTTCAGAAACATAGTTTGGTACAAACCTTGATAGCCAAAGCAGTTGGTACCATGGTTCGGATGTCACCTAAGCTTTGCTCTAATAACTTTTTGGCTCTACAACCTCTTGAGATTATAGCATCTCCTGTTACTGCCTGAAGATTAAAGCAACATTTTAATCACATTAGGCCACATAGAGTGATATAAAAAGTACATAAAATGTGAGAGGAAGTTGAGTTTTTTGACAAACCATGTAGAGTTTACTGGATTCACTACAGTACTGAAGAAGAAGCTTAGCTTTCTCCAAAGCTTTGTTGAGCAAACATAGAGTCTGTATCCCTGTGCTAGCTCCGGGTCTAGCAGCTTCTATTTCAGGAAAGATTTTCATAACTCTATCTACTAAGTTCTTCAAGGCTAAGCACATGGAAGAGTGCATCTGCAATCAGAGCAACACCAAACATGTTATTACAATAAAAAAAAGTTTAATGCAAATTAAAAAAAAAAAAAATCAAACATAAGAGATTCTTGGAACTAACCTTGAACGAATGAGGCAACCTTTCTATCCGTTCAGTGGTATCAATTCCCATCTAAACAAGAAAGTTTCTAAATTCTGCAAGTTTGATAATCATATAAAGGTTCTTTTAGGACAAGATCTCAAACACAGACACAGAAACATCATTACAGATTTACAGCTAACCAAACCAAAGCAGAGATAGTTGTAAGAAAGTTAACTTACCCTATGATCTAAGCTTACTCTTCTCCACAATCACAAACCGTTTCAAAGCCCTAGAACATAAAGCTGAAGACTTCCCCAGCAGAGGCACTTTGAATCAGTAAGAGAAACAAGAAGTGATGATAAAAAAGCGAGAACTTCAGCTAAGACCTTTAGCATAACTCCTCTGCTAATCAACTTAAACAAACCCTATTTTTCCGGGAAACAAAGACTAACTTTTTCTTGGTGGGTCAAGAAAAAGATTTAGTCTTTCAAGGTAAGTTCGTGCAAAGATCTCTCGAAGGTTGAAAGAAAAAGGGTATAAAATTTGGTTGTTGAAACCTTGGGAGAACAGAGAATGAGATGAGATTAGGGAAAAGCAGAGAGGAAAAAAACAGAGTGCTAAAGTGTTAAAGTAACAGCCTTTGGTGAATGACAGTCGATTTTAAATCGTTGAGCTTACAAATAATAATGGACTGTGACAGATTCTACGTGACCGCGTGTTTGGTTCAAAGGGATTGGTGGTTACATTACATCATAAGAGTGCCGTGTCAAGCGCAGACTAAATTGAAAGGACGAGGTCTTAATGGTGCTCGTTATGGTCAGGTCAATATACACATGCAAACAATTTATATTTTTAGTAATTTTCTCAAGTTTTTTTTTCTTTCTTTAGTGAAAAGATTCTAAACAAAACTAAAAGTATTCCTTCCTTTTGTTTTTTCTCTTTAAAAAATATTATCGTTTTTTAAAGCTTGTTAAAGTAATGATTTTAACCATTCTTTCTAATAGATTGATAGTGATGTAACTAAGATTGTTGTATTCTAATTTAATCGATATATTGATCTGTGGTGTCTAATGGTGCTTTACTTTGATCACTTTTACGGTTTTACTTTGCTCATTCATGGTGAAAAGAAATCAAGTACACATCTTTAATGTCAAATATAACTTTGTTTATCACTTGTCAATGTGCACATATTCTTCACAAACTCTCTTTTTAGCATGAACTATTCAAAAGGCACTTACGCGTCAATCTCTAGTAGAAACAAGATACATCCGCCAGTAAAAAAAAAAAAACAAGATACATCCGTTTGGTATATTACTAACTTATTGTGAAATATTTTTGGTGTATTTTTGATTTGGCAACAAAATTACACTTACAAATATTTGAAGTCAATCCGAAGTTTGTGGAAAATATAGTCTCCCTTTAGGAAAAAACTAAAATATAGATAAGATATATAGGAGAGAGTGTGTGGGATAGAATACTTCCTTGTGACCACAACCTTCGCAAACGCATATGATCAACATTTGTGTAAGACTTGTCGTCGCAACCTGTTGACTGGTCCGCTTTTTATTCTTGCTCCACTTGCTAAATGCCTAATCTAAACTGTTTGTTTCTACGACTGTATGTGATGAATATAATAAGTTTATCTGCTTATGATATTGTATGATAGTCTCTTTATACTAGTATAATACCTTAGAGCTGAAGAACTACTGCTTATTTGTAGGGAACTTATTCAAGCATCGGAAGTTTAAAGTCTTGGTAATAGATATCAGGGGTTTGAAGTTCTATTTTCTAGATGGTTGTACAGTGAAAAATAGATGATTTACATTGTACACTGTACAAACCCAAAAACTGCTACTTGGGCTTATGTAGATTTGATGATTGATAATTTACATGGTACGGTGATAACATTGTTAGTACGTAGTTGGTAATAGAAATCATGGGTTTACAATTTTTTTCTTTTTAAAGTTAAATAACTATGGCTGTTGTTTTGTTTTAAAACAGATAAAGTTGTGTCGTAAAATGGACATAACATCAATGTCCTAATGTGAAATGCATAAATGCTCCTTAATGGCCAAAGCAAGAACAGGAATTTGTTATCTGATGTAACCTGCTTGATGGCTCTGAGCCTCTGACCTAAAGTTGGCCTACCAAAAAAAATATTTGGATTTTCCAAATCGAAATTTAATTCACATCATGATTAATGTGGTCGAGAAGAGATTGATTACGAAGAAGAATAAAACATAGGTACGGTAAGATAGTTATTTAAGTAAATTCTAAGTCTAGTCAACGATTTGGTATAGTTATGTTTGCCCTTAATGTATAATATGATTGGCTCCACCTACTCATTGACAAGCAACAACTACTCTCTGCCTCAAAATAAAGGATGCTTAATTAACTAATTGCGACAACGCTTTAGAGAATAAATCAACTTACGCTTTGGAATGTTTTCCCCCGTAAGATAATCAAGATTGGTTTAAGTGTACCTTTTTAGGTTTAGATTTGTTTTTTGGTATGATACACGGTTAGAGTTGGTGGTAGACAAAAGTATTGAATAGATCCAAAGTTTAGCTGAAAGTACATTTTAACGCGGATGTGCCTTTTGTAGAACAATTTTTTTAATATTCTGTCTACAACAAGAGAAGTCAAGAAGAGGCACCAACCACTTGAGGAAGAGGTAACCAATTAAGGAAGGAAGACATTGATGAGATAAAGAAAGAAGTTCAAAAAAAAGATGAGAAAAAAAAAAGACATGCTAACGGGTAGGACAATGCCCATGACAAGTTAACGATAAATGGGCCTCACGCCCACTTAGAATATTAAGCTTTGTGAATAACCTAAGCCCGTGTAAAATATACATTAGAGATACTATCAACTGCATTATCATTCGGCAATTATACTAATCCAGTTGAATAAAATGATTGGCGGCTTATACTTTTACTTACAATACTGCAGCAGCCAAAATAGTCTTCTCCGGACAATTCCGTGCTGTGCCAGGAGCAATTTTTAATATGTTTTATCCTCAGACACAAAAGTTAAGGTTCTGATGTTTATGATATGATGACATCAAAATATGTGGATTCGAGAACATAAATGGTAATAAAATAAGTGGATATTCCCATTTGCATTTGGTTCCTCCATAATAACGCCAACATGAGGTTTCTTTATATTTAAAGAAGTGGCAATACAAAGTAGTAAAGAAATGTTAATAGAGGTTTTACGATGGAGCATCTTCGAAACGTCAAATGTGGTCCACTTCAAAGGGATCAGGTGAGATCAGAATCTAATCAAATAAAGAAGTAAACCGAATATGTCCCCCCTCTAGACTGGGACAGCAACTATATTATTTGTTATAAACCAAGTCTGATAATTAGGATTTGGATAACAAATCTGACCTCAATGAAACACTTAAATCGATCAAATTAAATCGTCTGGTGATGTTCTTTGGACTATTAGTGACGTTCTGAAGGCTATAAAACATGTTTTACAGTGTTTAACTTCGGTAAAACATGATTGATATAACGAACGAGGAATTGATTTAGTGGATATAACATTTGAATCACCTAATAGAGGTCAATTCCCGTTATAATAGGTTTACATCTTAAAGAAGTTAATTTAACATGATTTGGGCGTCGTTGTAGTCTTGTAGAGAGATGTATGGGAGTCGACACAAATAATACTTGCGACATCTGCATATACTATAGTCTAGTGCGTACGTATAATAATTATGGTGAGCTAAAAGTAGTGTGCAGATTGACCAGCTCAAAACTATCTAAAAGAGAACGACGGCTTAAACCGATCATATAATGCTTGCTCTACTATAACATGACCGGTCAAGGCAATCATCGTATTCTCAACAGATTTTGAGTACAAATTTGCCTAAAAATCAAATGACATAGAAAACAAATAGAAGCTTATTCTTATGAAATTCTTGAAACTGGAATTGGTAGTCGACGTTAGTAATGGAAGAATAATTAATATGAGTGCTTGTTTGCCTTAAGAAATGAAGCGTAGAAGTGAAGTTACGGATCCAAAATGGAAGAGTCTAAAATAATATTCCAAGAGGGCAAGTTGTTGAGTGGGCAAGTGAAGTTGAAAGAAGATGAGTATCTGCCGAAAGAATGTTTTATCACAAACCTTGGAACAGAGACCAAAGAGTACTACGAGAAAAGATATTTTATAAACTTTTTGGAGAAGAAATGCAGTCCATATCTTCATCTTTTTGTTATTATACATTTCTTATATCTATAATAATAAGTAGAATTAGAACTAGGGGTGTTCAACCCGGATTTCAGTTCGGTTTTGGTTCAGTTTCTTCGTTTTTTCCGTATTTCCGTTTATGAAAATTAGTTATCATATTAATAACATCTCTACTTTGATTCGGTTTGGTTTATATACTATCGGTCTTTGATTTATTCGATTTGATACCAAAATTATAATTATATTTACCTTTTATGACAAATTTTATTTTATATAATTAGAAATCAGATTTATTAAACATAAGATATATTCCGTACTCTAGTTTTAAAATAGAATATCTTCTTTTGCCTTTTTACTATTAAAATAATAAAAAAATATTTAATATTATAATAGTATTAAATAAATATATTTTGACACAAATATTTATCAATAAAAATATGTTTTAAATATGAATATAATATTAATCAATAATCATGTATATATTATTAATTTTATTATAAAATTTGCATATAAGTATATTTATATATTTGAATTAATCGGTTTCTTCGGTTTATATACCAAACTTTATTCATATACTGTGATTTCTTAAAATTAACTTCATTCGGTATATTTGATATTACCAAATCCCAACTAATTTCTCTATCTTGGTTTGGTTCTAACTGGTTCGGTTTTACCGAATTGAATACCCCCTAATTAGAAAACTAAAAACCCCAGTATGGATACAATAAAAACAGTGAGTGGAGAGGAATAAGAGAAGTTAAACAATGTCCAAAACAAAGGAGGCGTAAGAAAGGCGCAGATGTCGTCGATAAGATTCATCGACGAGATCTTCCCAAGATTTGGAATATGTCTACTTGCATTACCACCCACATGATAAAAATATAAACAAGAACACCTGAATATCTTCGAAAAGGTGCTGTTTTTTTCCTCATCAACCCTTCTCGTGGTTAATGCATAACTTCGGTTAGTATGTTTCCTCTATATATTATGACTAGATGTTGAAATATTTAAATGAAGAAACTAGGGAAAATTCCATATAAATACCCCAACTAAATTTTATTAAGATTTTTAATACCCAAATTTTTTTGCTACCCAGTTTAATAGCCCAACTAATTATTTTGTCCATTTTAATGCATAAACTTTTATAAATGTGCCCATTTTAATTCTCAAACTTTGTTTATTTTAATTAACAATACGAATAAGTTTCCAATAAAATTTTTAAAATTTCTTAACTTTATAAATAAAATTGATTTTATTATATGTTAGAGAAATGAAATTAAATAAATTTTTTATAATCTTAAGTTTTATAATAAGTTTTTTAAGTTTTATATATTGAATTTAGTTTGTTTTCTGAAAAAAAAGAGTAAATTATCTTTTTTCCTTCAAAATTTGTTTTTTAAACATTTAAATTTTCTCCAGAGTTTATTTACCTTCTTTCTTAAATCTTAGAGTAAA